TTTATATTCCATTGGTTTGCTTAGAGTCACTCTGCCTTTTGATTGTCAATTAACTAAGTGTTAGAAGAAAGGTATCTTGGGGAATTCTAAGCCAATACAGCCTAAATAACAATCGTATATTCCTTTTATCTGAGCATTTCATCTGCTGAAATGAAAGAGAATAATTTTTCAGTGAAACAGGACCTTTCATTATAGTTCAGGGAAAAATGATTCTTTTAGACTGCAAGACACTCTATCTCAGCAGGAGGTAAATGGAGAGAAAGTTGTTCTAAATTGTGCCATTAAAGAAGAAGGGTCTACTAGAGACCGCTGGTAATTGAGGGATTGTCCAAACAATACATAGCATGAAGAGAGTCAGATTAAAAACAACTTCTATCAGTATTCTGAAGGCCTTCTAAGGGAAGAGTTACTTCTAGGGATATATATATATAGATAGATAGATAGATAGATAGATAGATAGATAGATAGAGAAAGAGAAAGAGAGAGAGGAAGGGAGAGAGAGAGAAAGTTACTTTTAGGAATGAGAAAGAGAGACACAGAGAGACAGAGACAGAAACAGAGACATAGAGAGTGAGAGACAGGGAAAGACCATTGCTGCATGTTTACCCAAACTTCTAGGTCAAATTTTTATACTTCTACAGTTTTTATTTATTTCAGTCTTAGAAGTCTAATGCCAAAGAGGAATGCATTGCTGGAAACACTTGCATGCATACACACTGTGTATTAGGGTTTTATTAGTTTTATCACATAATCCAGAAGGAGGTAAATATTTTCTCTTTTCTAATACAGACTAGAAAGTTTACAATTCTTAATTGGCAATACTTGCTGTATTGTTTGTTTCTGTGCCTGTAAGAAACAAGCAAACAGGCCAGTAAAAGAGATTTTTATTTCAGTAAACCCTAAATGAGCCTCTGTCCTTCAATTACTGCTTAAAGGGGAAAACTCCTTTACACTAGAAAATGTCATCTGTGATTTCTTGAGCTTGTTCACCTCACAATGCTTAGTTTCTGGTAAATGTTGATTATTTAAACAAAGGCTCATCAAATGCATATGCTCTTAAAAATAATTACCAAAAAGAAATTAAATGACTCAAAGGTGGGAAAGGGAGAGATATTGCCATAGCCAGACATGCTTTGGTGTTTAATCAACTCAGAAGCTTTTGCTCCTTCATATTGATTGCCAACTCTGTAACTTTTATTAGTGCTGTTATTATAAGCAAACCACATTTTAAGCCTACAAGCATAAAATAGAGACAGCCAGTGTGCTACAAACCACGGTTTAAATGAGGCAGTAATGACAATTCATCAGGCATTTTCTGAGAGTTAATAGCCATCTGGGGCAAGATGAAGGTTGAAGATATTGTCAAGAAGCCTCTGCTTTTTCAGTCCTCAGTTGCCTCTGGGAGTGACTGCTAGTACATGAGTCGGTTACTGTACAGAAGGGAAGCTTAATTTTAACATAAGAATAACAGTAGCTATTTTGTAAAGAGCACAACTGAAATCATTCCATTTTGAAACTAGAATCAATATTACTACATAAATAATTATTTCTCATAAATAAAATACTCACATGCAGCATGCAATTAATTTACAATGTAAAACTAGCATATCTTTAATACCAGCCCAGTTGTTCCTGAGCTACAAACGTGCATTTTGCATTCTTTGGATCTCCAGCGCATTCTGTAAGTGAAAAAGATGTCCCTTTTTCCAGTTGAAAAGGGTAGAAGAAACTTTGCTTTTTAGAGAACAGATTTAAAATAAAGACGAGATTGAGCTATAAGTCACAGTCCTTATGGGTTGCCTCTCATCTGATCTGCTTAGGCCTTAGGCTTGTGTCACTCTGCAAGGTTGAGTTAGCTAATAAAGGTGACAGCACATCAGACTGGCCTCCACTGATATCACCTCCTTCTCAGGTAACCAAAATTCAGTAATTTAAAAAATTAAGCCTTGTATGAGGTGCTGTCATATAGATAAGATGTAGTTTAAACAGTCATCGAAAGAGGAAATCACTGGATATGTGACTTTAGCATGCATTTTGTCTAAAAAGAAAACAGCCCACATGCAGTAATTTCACCAGCACTGCCTACACCTTCCATTTAGTGTCATCAAATTGGGGAGAAAAATACACTAATGTATCACTTAACATCACTTAATGACACGGATATGCTTAGAGAGATATGTCAGTAGGAAATTTGTTATTGTGCAAACATTATAGAGTGTATTTACTCAGACTGAGGCAGCTACGATGCCAGTTGGCAATAATGTTTTCTGGAACTGCCATTGGATATGTGCCCATTGTTGTCCAAATCACCATCATGCGACTCATCAATGTAAAATACAAAATAAAAATCCCACAGTATTAAACTCCCAAAAAATATATTTCAAATAAGGTCTCATGTCAGACTTACTGAATCAGAACCTCTGAGACGGATCAGAGGTATTTCTGAGACTTCACTGAAGCCCAGTGGCTTGTGCACCACTGAAACCAGCAGTCAGTACTGGAAATGAATGGAACCTGTGAAGAATTCATCTAAAAATTTCCTCTAAGAAACAGTTGTCTCCACATTCTACTTGCAGCAGTTCAAATCCTGCATTTTTTTGTGTTAAGGAAGTTTCATAATCATAAATGTGGAATCAAGTAAGAAGAAAGTCTTCTCCCGAGAGCTAACACAGAAGTGAAGTCCTCACATAGTTTGTTTAGGAAACATATGACATCAAAAAAGAGAAAAATCATTCCCTATCATTTTTGTTGAACTTTAAGATTAATGAAAGCTTTCTATATGAAGTTTTGGGAACACGAGGTTGCTCCTGAGTATCCAATTGTGGTCTTTACCCTCAGAAGTTTATTAGTAGCATTTCTCTATCTGCCAGTGAGGATGTAAGGAAATGAGATAAAAATCACCTACTGCACACAAAACTTGATGAGCACTGTTTTCTATATATGATGGAACAATTCTCAAACATACGAATAAAAATCCAACTTTCAGTTAAGAGAAATGCCGTTATCATCAGAAGAATGAAATCTTTCAAAAATGTTTTTCCAAATGAATGAAGTTATTTACTCTATTCATTTGAAAAATGAAAGATGAAAACAGAACAGCAATCAAAGCTATAACAATTCCAGGTGTATAAAGTCTATGACCTGTCTTTATGAAGTACAGAAAATAGGGCTCACTAAAGGGACAAAAAAACTTGCCACAAAGAATAAATGCACTTTGTAAAAGTATTTGAACAAAATGATTACAATCCAAGTTGTGTTATAGACATTGATGTGTTAGTAATTGTCTAATAAAATGCTCTCTGAAATGAAGACCAAAAGCTCTGAACTATAGAAATTTCTATTTTTCATGATGTCAATGCTTCCACTATGGCTGATTTCAGGCCACCAATATCAGTCAAAGACAGATCTGGGAAGACACACACTGAGTAGCTCACCACTATATAGTATTTCCCCTTAGAGATGCAATAGATATAAATAACATAAGGAGTATGGTAATAGTAAATTATAATATAACAGAAAGTATTGAGTATATATTATTTTCCTAGAAATATAATACTTAAATCTACATTGACATAATTTAAAGTTTAATAATATGTTTTTTAAAGAGGTGGCTTCAAAATTTCTGAATTTTATGGGCTGGGGGTTTAGCTCAGCGGTATAAGTGCCTGCCTCGAAAGCAGGCAGTCGTGAGTTCGATCCCTGGTACTGGTAAAAAAAATGAAAAAGCCAAAACAAAACAAAACAAAAAAAAAATTCTGAATTTTAAGTAGTTGGTCTTCCAGCACCATTCTGAGCCCAGCTATAGCACAGCACTGATAGATCTAATTATTGTCTCAGATTGAGGCTACTACAGATACTGAAGTTCTCAAGGCAGCCTTTCTGAGTCACTTCTACATGGTCTCTCTCTCTCTCTCTCTCTCTCTCTCTCTCTCTCTCTCTCTGTGTGTGTCTGGAGTAAACAGTTAATAAAAGAACCAATATAGGAACAGTTACCAAAGACCAAAGACCTTTGGCAGAAAATTTCAGTCAGAAATGCTGTGTTCTGCAGGTCAGGGATTCTAAAGTGGGGCCATTTTGCTCCCCAGGAGCATTTGGCAATAACTAGAGGCTTGTCACAAATGGAGCATCTAGGAAGAAGCTAGAGATATTGTTGAGCATCCTACCATGCAGAGGATAGATTCCTGCTCAGCTTCTAACACTAATAGTGCTAAGGCTCAGAAACTTGCTCGAATCTTCTGTATATTCAAAGATTCTCATTTCTTTAAAATTGAGTACCAGTCCCTCTCCTAAAATATTTTCCTCTACCAGATGACAAGAATTGTATAATGGACTATGTCTTCTCTTTGGTCTTCACTAGTAATAACTGTTTTAATTTTTCTTCCTATTCCTTTTTCAGAACCACCATTTTATGGTAATTTTTTATTTTACCTTTGTACATGAGTTTCACTAACGACAAATTAGCTTTAAAAATAAGAAGCAGGTAGATGATAGATGGACGGATGGCTGTATGGATAGATAGATGGAAGGGACAAAGCAAGTTAAAGAGAGAAAGAAGAAAGAAGGAGAAAGAAATTTTTCTTTAGAAATAAAAAACACCAGAAGCAATTGGGGATGCATCACATCCATTTTCCTATCAGTGACTCAAGCTGATTTTTCTTAATGGCAGAGTAATATTCTATTGTGTATAAATATCACATTTTCTTTATGCTTCCATCTTTTAATGGATATATAGAGCAAAATAAAAGATATTAGGAAATAGGGAGATACATCTTTCTGGAATGAAAGGAGATCAAGAGGTGAAATGGGAGCGCGGGGGGAAAGGGGATGAAAAAGGAATGAAGATGTGTTCTGTACCTGGACCAACTCCACACAGGGAACATAGATACTATGTAATGCAAACATTTACAGTATAATAAAAACTGGAAATGATCAGGTGACTACCAGTATAACTTGTAAAACCTTTATAGGAAATACATTTAAATACATATTTGTGTTTTCAGAGGAAAAACAATCCCTATGCTCTCGCATCCCTGGTGTCCTTTAAAGTTAAGAAGATGCCTTATAGAGATCAACCAGCAAAACTTCCAGAAGGAGGCATAGCAGTGAGTATCTCTTTAAAATACAAAAAGACAAATGTAATAGAAATTAAATATTTTTAACCACTATGCAACATGTATTTGGTTTAGCTGAACACAGGGTTTCAAGAAAATTTTCCTGTTTTCACATCACTTTTATTTCTATCTAGAAATTTCTTAGTGCCTTTTGACCTAGTTTTGATTAATTAATTAATTAATTAAATTAATAATCAAACTCATGATCTCGCACTTGCTGGGTCGGCTCAGTGCCACTGAGCTATATCCCTGGCCTGGTTTTAAACTTTTGATATAACATCTAGCTAAGACATTTATGGAGCAGGACTCAGACCACTCAGCATTTTTTATCAAACCATTTTGACTTGGAGGAGTCCAGATAGCAATGATCACTATACCAAAATTAGTTTTGTTTTAATGATAACAAGATAAGTCAGATGCAGAGGGAAAAAATTCATCCTTAGGGGAAGCTGGTCTGCACTGGCTGGCGAATTTGAGAAACTCATTTTTCCTTCTTGTCTGAAAAACCACCAATATGATTGCAAAGAATATAAAAATATACTATGTACTTCTCTTCAGTGAAATGTCATATTTTAAAAACCTAAGGCTATTAAATCTCACTGACACCTAAGTATCTGTTACAGAACAACTTCTTACTTCCTTAGCAACATGGCCAGGCTGTGCAGAGCAGAAGGTAGCATAGGAAAGAAAGGTCAGCAGCCACTGTTACCAAAATTCTCTTTTTCCAGTTGCATGGAAGTTATCAGAAACCTCTGAAAAATAATGTCAAGATTTCAGCTTTCATCTCTTGGTCATTCCATGGATATTCATAATACCTATCTGGAACTCTTGGTCTTTGTTATTCAATGTATGGTTTTTTAAAAGACCAAAATCTTCAGTGTCACCTGGAAGAGGATTAGAAATACAGAAACAAGCTTCATTCCAAACCAGCTGAGTTCAAAGCTGCATTTTATCAAAATCATCAGAACATCTGCATGCACAGTCATGTTTGAGGAGCACTATTTTATAGGCGGTGTATAAACTTTCCTGTTGTCTTCTCTTTGCAGCCCAGGTCTTCAGACTTCATTGTAATAATGTTTGTAGCCAATCTAACATTTAACAGTTTAAATTAATCTACTGATTAGTGACTCTCAGCTTTGAGCACACAACAGAATCATTCCTTATTCAAAGAGATACAAATATATAAATGGTAAGAAGACCTCACCTGAAGTATCTGACCTTAGGGGCCCTGCTTCTGTGCTTTAAAAGAGTCACAAATGCAAATCCAGTATTGAATCCAGGTTGTCTTGGGCATCACCTGGGAGACACCAACAACTGAAAAGAGGAGAGGTTTATTTGGCTCACGGTTTTTGGAGGGTTCAGTCAATAGTCTGCTGGCTCTGAGGCAAGAAGGGCACGGTAAAAGGGCCTAGTGGAGGAAAGTTATTCAACCTTTGCATCCAGGAACCATAGAGAGAAAGGAAGAGTGGGAATAAAATATACTAGTCCAGATTCGACCACCACTAACTCACTTGCAACCAGGCCCCACCCATTAACAACACATTTTTACTATGAACTCATCTGTGAATTAAACCTCTAATTCATATGTACACCTGTCATCAACTCACCTTTCAAATGCCTCATCTCTGATCATGAGAATTTGGGGGTACATGCTAGATCTAACCTACATCCGACTGCGAGTCATACTCACTTGGTGGAATTGTGAAGAAGATTAATAAAGTCATATACATAAAACTCTAGCATTGTACCTGGAAGAAGGAAGTCTCAATAAATGTCAATAATCTTTTAAAATATCTTTCCTTCTCTGGCTAAATCCAGTTAGCCCAAATTGGAAATGACACGAGATTTGTACAGACAGTGTATTCCAAAGTCAGCATGGCCACATCTTTCTTCATTTAGATCACTCTCTTTTTCTCACAAGCTGTCTTCTGTAGATTGGATTTATGATCAGCCCAGAAAACAGAGGCTTTGGATTTTAATATGAAGTATTCATCTGAAGAGGTTCAAAGGCTTGTTGCTCTAACGGAGCCAAATCCAGGCCCTTTGGTTTTCTCTGAGCACATGTTTCATAACAGAAACACATGTTAAAGTTGATACCACAAACACGACTGCCTCTTTCTGTGTTGGACACAGGTGATGGCCTGCTGTTCTCAACTATTTCAAAAGATCCAAAAAATATTCAAATACTTGCTTCCTCCACCTGTCCCACCTGTTACCTTACTGGAAAAAATGACCGATTACCTAATTTAGATGATTTACTATACCATATGTGTAAAGATTATTGGAAAGCATTTAGAAATCAAAGTGCTTTCAAAAATCTCCCAGTATTTAACTGGAGAAGATAGTGCCAGCAGAAATTTATCTATGTAGTACAGGGAAACAGTCTTTCTGTGGCTTGATTTGATAGAACTCCAGTTGGAGCAGGCAGAGATTTTATAGCAAGTTCTTGAAGACTGTAATTTTGCCTTCAAAGAATATTAGCAGAGGAGAATGGCTGTAAGGTCATATAATCAGGTGGAAAAGATAGTCTGAGGATTACCAGGATTCCCACGGGCTACTCAGAAAAGTCTTTGTAATGAGATAAAATAATATGTACTTGTTTTCCTAGACTCGTGTGTGAGATGCTTAGTTTTCTGGTACTTCCTTTTCAACATGGTCATAATGCAGCCATCACTTGAGATCTAAGTAAAATTCACACATGAAAAAAGCAGTTTCCATCTGCTACTTGCATAGCATCTCTGTTTATAACAAATGAACTTGTGACATGACATTTGTCCTGTTCAGAGGTGAGACAAAAGCTGTATGATTCAGAGGGATATGAATGAACAGAGTCATGGCAGTACAACAAAGAAGACACAATTCAACTATTTGAACAATTTTTTTGACTAACTAATAAACTTTGGTATTTGCATGCCATGCAACTATTATCTAACTCTGTATTTTATATTTGGAAGAAAGTATCGCTGCCTAGTATAATTGCAAAGATGATTATCATAAAATATTTGATGGAAATCCTTATTTAAAAAGCCACGTGTAGGAGCCAGGGATTTAGCTCAGTAAAAGTACCTGCCTTGGAAGTGTGAGGTCTTGAGTTTGATCCTCGGTACAAAGAAAAAAAAAAAAAGCCGTATGTAACTGTAAATACATTTGAATTGCAGAATTGTACCAAAATTTTGACACCTAAAAGTGTAATTCTTATATGAAACAATTGCTTGGAATGCAGATTTATTGTAAGGACTCTCTGTCTCAGAAGAGCTCTTTGAATGTTATTAAATGTGTATACAGCTGATCCAATCAATGTGTGTTATTATTTTGTTCCAAATGGCACTGCAGGTAAGCTATCTAAGTACAATTATTCAAATGTTCTTCTGACTCCACCGAAGTATGTTTACAGATTTTATGATACATAAATATAGATGTCAACATTAATTACAGTTGCAAAGACAAGGAAAGTTTTTCCCTCTGGGGATTTTTTTTTTGTCAAAATGTGCAAAAGCATAAATGTCAATGATAAAATGTAAACACATTAAAAGTTTATTTATGGCCTTTCAACCATAATAAAGAACAACAAGATTTATGACACAGTAATGGCAAGATTAAATGTTCCCTACTTAAGTCTAAACTACTTCCAAGTTAAGAACTTCACTCTCTGAGATTGTGGATAATGGTAAAAAGTGAGTTGTTAAAATTTTATGCTATTTGTTTCAGTAAGTAAATATTTTTGCTAAACAGAAAATGTATTAAAACACATTGTTGATTGATTGACATAGAAATAGATTTTCCCTCTAAATTGTAAGTACTCTACTTACTCAACATTAACATTCTTTTTAAAAGAAGTTGAGACATTGAGTCACAAGGTCTTGTTTGAAACCTTTAATACTATATGCATTCCATCTTCTGCCTTGGAACACTTTTTGATGAAAGAATTTTGTAATGAAGGGTTTAGTAATTCTGCTAATCTTGTCATTATGTGAAATTACACAAAATGCTATGGAGCTGTTCAGTCCAGTATGGTAATCGCTAGTCATATGTGGATATTTCAGTTCTGAAGCACAACCAATGGAACTAAAGAACTGAATTCAGAGTTTCATTTCACTTAAATAAACTCATTGAAATGAAAACTGAAATACTGAAGCATGTAAAACAGTTTCCCATTAAACACAGCTTTATTGATTTTTATAGAACTACATTTCAATTCTACTGTTGAGATTTTATCAACTAGTATATGTTGCTAACTAAAAATTCATACTGAATTTTAGAGATCATAAAACAATGCATAAAGGTCTTAAATTTTTATGTCAAATTATAAATATTTTATATCAACTACCCACTGAAATAGTCGGTTTATCATTAGCATATAATAGTTGCTATTTTGTGTTAAATAAATTATGTTAATAAATCTAATTAGGCAAATCAGGAGAGTTAATGTTCAGAAGGATCCAGAAGTAAATTTCTAGTTTGAAAATTTTGCCAAGTTAACAAGGCATACACATGGATTAAAAGTATGTGGTTTCTTTGATAGACTTAGAACATAGGAGAATGAAATGCTTTATTAAAAATAAACAAAATTTCCATGACTAGATTTCTCTCTCCTGAGTCATTATATCCAGGCTGCAATAAAAGATCACTGTTATCCCTTTTAGTTTCAAAGTTCCGAAATTCTTGTTGCCAAATTGTCTGTCTACTTCCAGCAAAGTTAGGTTAATTTTTTGTTGTTTTTTTTTTTTTTTTGTCTTTTTCCTTTTTATCGGTACCAGGGATCGAACTCACGACTGCCTGCTTGCAAGGCAGGCACTTATGCCGCTGAGCTAAATCCTCAGGTTAATTTTGAAATACTACTTCACACTCTTTCTCTGATTAGTGAGAATGTTAGGATTGAGTGGTGATGTCATGAGATGTAATTAACCCAGGAGAAAAGGTATGCGGAGAAATAACTATGTCCTAATTTGCTACTGTAGTCACAGACATGCAAAAGATCACTTTAGAACAAACTGCTTAAGCTATAGAATCCCGGTGGCATTGCAGTTACTTTTAGTCCTTGAAATAAAGTTCTTCAATATGTCTCTCAACATGCAGCTATGGCAAGCAGGTGTAATGCCATCATGGGAATGTCACACTTCTTAGTGATATGTCAGATGAAACAAGAGTTAACTTTAGCAAAGAGCACTAGTGAAGGCAAAAGGGGAAACTATAATGGTGAGAAGATTAAACCGAGTCACTCTTGTCACAGTGGGATGACCGCCAGGCTCCCTATTCTGTTGATTCCATTGTTCATTCTAGACAGAAATGATATTTGTGGCTAGAGAACTGAGTGAGTGGTGTGCTGCATAGAGGAAGCTGACTAAGATGGGATGAGGGGGAATAAAAACCAGGAGAAGCACAGAAGAGCATTATCAATGTGTTCAAATCTAGTTAAGAAGGCAGAGGGGGAAAGGGGAAGCATGGTTTAAGCCTACCATCAGAGTTTAGGTGATTTCCTGCGAGAAGAAATTCCAGAAGTGGTGACATTAGTCATGATTTCATTTTGTACTGTAGGGATGGTCTTTAGAATTATGGTCTAGTGTTATTGAGCATGTTTCAGGATTGAAAGTGGATTGTTTTAATCACATTTTAAAACTAGGAGCATATAGACCAATAACAATGCTTGCTATGCTATTAAACTAGATATACCTGTATTGGTAAATGATTTTTGGGTCCAAGAACAGATTTTTTTTCTCTTTTGTTTGACAACAGATTCTGGTAACATGGCTGGGACTTCCCTTGATTTGCCATGGAGGTCTGCAGCTTTTATGCACAAACTCCCAACATACAAACAATAGAAGTGCTCCTTCTGCCTACCTGAGGAGGGTGGGGAGGTTTTTAGACACTGAGCTTGCTTGTCCAGGTGGGGACATCTCATTTTCTTCCAGGCTCCTTTGGCATAGTGAGGAATGAAATGAACTCTAATCTCCAGAACCTCAGGTCAGTTCTGCACCTAAAAATGAATTTAGGATTGAAGGCTACTCCAACATTACAGGGCAATGTTCACTTTGTGCACTGTGGTGTCCATATAAATAACAATCAGAGAGCAATTCTGCAGGGAATAATAAGACTTGCTTGGGAGCCTAATAGCACAGCAATTGGAATATACATCCCACAGTAAACTATGCATTATTATTATTATTATTATTATTATTATTATTGGTACTGGGGATCAAACTCATGACCTTGCACTTATGAGGCAGGCACTTTAGCCACTGAGCTAAATCCCCAGCAAACTATGCATTTTAAAAGTAAGTTAAGGCAGGGAAATTTTTAATGGCAAAATGAGGAAGATTTCACAAGATATTTTAAAATAACAATCATTAGCCATGCAGGTTAATAGCAAAGGAGTTTGTATTCTGAAACTGAATAGATAGTTGCTAGGCAGACAACTTGCAGAAGCATTTTGTATGTCCTTGCGCGAGGTTATGGTCCAGGAAGAGTCTTTTGTCACAGTCACTATTAGACAATCATGCATCAGAACCTTTGTTTTTTTCCTTCCTTCCTTCCTTCCTTCCTTCCTTCCTTCCTTCCTTCCTTCCTTCCTTCCTTCCTTCCTTCCTTCTTCCCTTCCTTCCTTCCTTCCTTTTCTTTCATCTTTCTTTCCTTCCTTCCTTCTTCCTTTTTTCTGTTCTGTCCTGACTTTGTTTGTTAGGATTCACACAAGTGACTTCATTTCCATCTTTATGGACAGCAGTTGTGTCCATAAAGTGCAAAATGACTACCCTGAAGTTCTGAATTATCCTTATTGATAAGACATAGAATTTAAGAATAAAGAAACTGATACTGGCAGTAATTAAGGGTATTCATCGGTGTCTCTGGGACTCGATTTTCTTATCTATAAAATGAAAACATTCATTAAGTGATTCCTAACTCTCAGGCACATCCAGCAGTTCACATGTTCACCTCTCCGTGAGATGAGCACTGTGAGGAAATGCATATAGACTCTTCTTTTGGCCATGGTCACCATAAAGGGCCAACCCAATAGAAAGTCCTTCCTTTCCACCATGTTGGCTCCTGGTCCACTTCAGTTTTACTCTCAAACTCCTGATCTGCCAAGTCCAGGAATCTGCTTCTTCTTAAGAGGCCATATTTGACTGCTATAACCTCACAAATTTCCCCATGGATGATTTTCATTATTGCATAGATCCTTTCAGAATGATCCTCAGTACTATACTGGCAGTGACAACTGTGTTTCACCAAATGATTTTCAAATTCAAGCTCATTTGCTTAATTTTTCATTTCAGATTAAGACATCAGTTATTTGGGCAACTCCAAATGTTTCCTTCTCAATCCCATTATGGGTCATAATACTGGCAATACTTCTTGGATTGTTGGTTCTGGCTATTTTGACCTTAGCTTTGTGGAAGGTAAGTTGATTTCCTTTGTTATTCCTTCTTCTCTGCAGTGGCCACTGAGGAAGATACTTAAAAGGCTATCATTGGAGATTTTGAAAGATAATATTAAAGGCATAATTTAGAGATTTTGAAAGACAAAGAAAAATGTGTGATGTTTGCTCTGTCACACATAACATGTGCAAGTAGTTAAAGTTTAGGAATTCAAGTGGTGTTTAATAGTGTTTTAATCTTGAGATTTCTTGTAAAGAATAGAGTTGGGTGCTGTTCACTAATACCTGTGAGCTTTCCAATTTGCTTGGCGTCATAATGTTAATATAAACATTTATCTTTCTGATTTAATTAAACAAGGTCTTAAATTTTCCTGTCATTCCATCATTAATCCTTTGAGATTTTTCTGAATATGCACTGCACTGATGCAATTAATGTAGGTGAATCATATTTTTTATTTTGACTATTAATGAGCTCAAATAGATCATGTATGTTTTAAGATGCTTGGATTTTAATCTTGACTATTAGTCTATCTTTTATTATTAATAAAGCCAGCATCTTTATTCTAAGCTACATCCTAGGCCTTTTTACTTTTTTTTAATTTGGAGACGAATTCTTACTAAATTGCCTGGGCTGGCCTTCAACATGTAATATCCCTTTTGCAGCCTGTCCGCGTGCTGGGGTTACAGACACCACCACATGCAGTTTAGTCTGTGTTTATCAGGAAGCATTAACTTAGTCTTTGATGTGTTCTACTGAGGTTTGTTCAAAAAGAATACAATAAAAACTAATATCCGACTTAACAAAGTACCCAACTGCCAGGTTGCACAGAGCCTTCCATTCCAGATACCAGTGTTGCAATTATATGACTATAAAAGGAATTAATCCAGTCACATATCATTGCCATGGCTCCCTAAAAATCATAGTTCATTTACATTTTGAAACAATATGAGAGATGCTTAGTAGACATATAAACTGAGAAAACTTTGGTTTTGTAGTAAAGAACAGCTTTGCTAATTATTATCAGCTGTTTTGTGCCTTTCTGAGCCCACATAATAAGTGGCACAGATTTAAAATGACTTGTGTTATTCTTTGTTTATAGTAACTGCAGTTCCAGTGAACATAAATTACTATATATTCCAATAGACAAAACATTCCACTACCCTAGAGAGTGCATGTCAAGTTTCCAACAGGGAAAACAAAAATAAGAATCAAGTTGAAGAGTTCTAGGAAAAGACACACCCTCCTTGACAGAGTACTAATTTCAAATTCAAGAGTTCGAACATCCTAGAAGCATTTCTAGGATGGTTAATTGCTAGTTAATCTGTGGAAAGTCACTGGAGTATTCATGCCTAGCTAGCTCTGACAGTAAGATAAAAGTATGGATTCAATCTTCCTCTCTATACTGTATGTTCCATGAAGTATGGAGCAGTCAGCAGTGATCTCATTTCTTACCAAGGTCACTTGGAGTCCACAGCAGGAATAATGCCCTCTTTCTGGACAGCAGTTAGGACTGCTCAGCAAATCTGCAGAAATCAGAGAGAGAACTCTGGGACACATTGTTGGAATCCCAGGGAAATACCCAAGGTCTGTGAGTGGTCTGTATATAATAGGGACATTCAGATAACCTAGTGTAATGACACATACCTGTAATGTCAGTACACTGGAGGATTGCAGGAGGATTGCAAGTTGAAGCCCAGACCAGGCAACTTAGCAAGACCTTATTTCAAAACAAAAAAGGAAATGAGATTTTTCTGGGGGTGTAACTTAATGAGAAGACTCTGGGTTCAATCCTCAGTACCACAAAGACAAAAAATGTACAGACGTTTTACCACTACTACAACATGGCCACTAACAAACACATTACTTGCATCTCTTAATTGGAGAATTGAACAGATTACATTCGCAGAGCTCCAAGTTCCTCAGAAGGTGTATAAAGTGAGCATTCTTTGAGGAAGAGTTTTGACTGAACCCTGTGACCTGTTTTATTTTTTCACAGTGCGGATTCTTTGACAGAGCAAGACCTCCTCAGGATGACATGGCTGACAGGGAACAGCTGACCAGCGACAAGATCCCAGAATCATGACAAGGAGAAACAAAGGCCCCATTCAAAGAAAAGAAAGGACAAAGGGGCTAAGTGATAACAGCATTCCTGTGCCTGCCAGTGACCTAGGAAAAGGAAGGGCCCTAAGATTAGCACCTCAACTACTCTACTCCTTGGGAGAAGGAAGTTTCCATGGAGCCCAGAGGACCCTTTGGGAATGGAAATAGAAACACCAGAAGCAATCTGCAATCTTAGAAGATTGCTTTTGATTTCATCTTTCCATATTGGACAGACATACTGAAATGGGCATGGAAACTTAGGTTGCTATCCAGATAAATCCAGCTTGAGTTGCAAAGATGAGATATCTTAATTACTAAAGAATTTAGAGGGTATATTAAGACTAAACTGTCTAGCACTACTGTATCCAACAGAAAATTCAACACCTCCCTACAAAAAGAAATGTTTTTAATGGTGTGATGGCTCAGGGAGACAAGCATTATGTTGTTGGTACTGTAAAAATACTTTTGAGGTGACAAAGGTAATTTTGTAAGTGAAGATAAACTTTTATTTATTTGTCTTCCATTTCTCTAGGTTGAGATTCTGGTTGTCTAGAAGATTTGGAAATTAAGATTTGATTAGCTAGCATTCAAAATCACTTACTTCATTTCCTTCCTGTGATAACCACTTTGTTCAGATAACTCATTTAAAAGAATTTTTAAAATTTAGATGGTATTAAAGAAAAGCAAATTGGTATTAGGAATCAGTTTGCTTAATATCTTGTGTCTTTCTACCTGAAATTACTCTTATTTTCACCATCCAGGCATTTACATCTGCTCAATTTAGCTTTATAAAATGTTGCATTTATATTTCTTTTATAAATGTAAAAACTTTCTCCACTGATTTATTTAAAATATGAATTTCAAGGTACTCAGCACTCTGTATGGTATTCAAAAGTAATAGTAAAGTGCCTAGAGTCAATTAATGAAAAATTTAAAACTATAAGTAAATATTATTTTAGTAGTTGTAATAAACACCAATGCTTAGCTTGAAATTAGTTATTTCCCCTGCTATACCTCATACTTCGATGCACAGAAATATCATATTGAAATATAAATAGGATGGAAACATAAAGTTCTACAGATATGAGACAAACTAAGACAACTGAGTCCTAAAGATTTTTTATTTAAAATTGCTTATTCCAACTTTATTATTCAGTTTTACTGCTAATCTTTAGAGTTCATAACTTTGGAGAATAATCTTTTATTTAAACTATGTTTTCCTTTGTTGTAATTTAACCATTATTAAAATATTTTGTTTAAAATCCTTGTAAATAATCCATAATCATGTGTAATGTTATTCTTTTGAAGAACTGACCAGTCAAATCCATAGGTAGTCTGCACAATTCTGTATCCTTTTTATAACAATGAAAAATAACTATGAAGAAATGCTAAAAATTTTTTATGTGCAATATTTTATAGAACAATGTATGTAAGGCATGTTTACACTGGCATTAGTTATTTTTAAATGAATATCCTGAATACTATGTATGTTAGAACAAGCTGACCAAGACTGTTAAGTTTACAAAGCAGTTGGAAAAATCTGTGTCCCAGTTTCAACAATCACACTTTATTTGAAAGATGAACCAAACTCACAGATACTAAATTTTATGTGCTTTAACCTGGAGGGGAGCCATTTGGCTTGAGCTGTGGAACCT